ATCACGAACTGATCATTTTGACACCTTTTCCTGTATCTCTTTCTCCATCTCTCCTCACCCTGGTCATCTTTTCTACCTCCAGCAAATTAGCCTTTCTGTTCTCTACCACTTCTCCTAAATTTTACTCCCTAATTTACATTTTGATATCTCATACAGAAGGAAAAATTATCAAAATTCACTTTCCGTGTCTGACTTAATGTCATTTAACATTATGAGATGGAGTCCCATCTACTTTTTATTTGCCAAAAGATATATGCTTGCTGGGCATGGTGGCACACATCTATAATCCCAGCACTTGGGAGGCTGAGGCAGGCGGATCTTTGCGAGTTCAAGACCAGCCTGGGCCACAAAGTGAGCTCAAGGCCAGCCTAAACTGCATAGCAAGACCCTGTCTCAAAAAGACAAAGAAGAAAAAAGATATATTCTTCTTCTTTACGGTGGAATAGTGTATTTTTTTCATTGCTGAGAATTAAACAACAGTCTTAAAATAAATTACTCTTGGGGCTGGGGATTTAGCTCAGCAGCACAGCGCCTGCCTGGCAAGCGCAAGGTCGTGAGTTCGATTCCCAGTACCAGAAAAAAAATAAAATAAAATAAAATAAATTACTCTTCTATGCTCTTTATTATTTTGAGATTGATTCTCATTTATCATTCATTTGGTCAGGGTGAATTTCATGTTACATCATGCTGGCTCAGGTTATCAGAGTGCTGGGATTATAAGAAAACACCACCATGTTCAGCGTATCCCACATTCCCTTTATCCATGTATAAAATGATGGACATCTAGGCTGTTCCAAGAGATTAGGTATTATGATTTCCTGAAATAAGCTATGGTGAATACCCATGCACATGCTGCTCTCAGCATGAGTATGTATGTATCACTTAGACAGGATTATTTTAAATCCTTTCAAAATATACTTAGGGAGATTTACCTGGATGAAATGCAAATTTCTATTTTTACTTTTTGAAACACCTATATATTATCAAAATGGTTCTACTTTGTATTTCTACCAAAAATGTATGAGGAGTGGCTTCTAAGAATTTTAAATTTCGTTTCTCTGGATTCACTAGGATTTAGTTGCACTTTAAGTACTGTTTCCAGGTTAGAATTTTTAGATAATATCAGTCTCATTGTCATACATATACATAATTAGATATCTTGAAGATGAGTTCCTGTCAAAGTACAAAATTTATTTGTTTCATATACACCTATACACAATTCATAAATTAGATTTTATACATTTTCATTATGTTGGTCACAAAAGAATTTTTTACACTGATATATGAGATAGGGTCTCTTGTTGCATAATATCATGACTTAGTTTCAGGGACTGGAATATTTCTCTATTCAATGGTCAGATATAGAAAACCTGTATGCATATCCGGAAAATTTTTCTGAGATTAAATAAATTTAACCACGGCCTCATCTGTAGTTTCTTTGCCTGTAATATTTCTGCTCACACACCAACTCAGGGAATATTAGCTATACTTAAAAATGGAAATTACCTTAGATTTCTTGAGTAATATTTGTATTCTTCTTCAAATTGCTGGTTACCCCAGGTCTTTCCTATATTGTAGCCACAGAAATATAAAAAGTCACTATATCATTTTATAGAAATTTGCAGTTAACAGTTTGACTCATGGTATAATGTAAACAGGCCTGAGATATTCTTCAAAATGTTTTCACACGCTATTTAATGAATCTGTACCAATCAGCAAGAACCAATGGTCTCTCACTGCATACATGAGAAAATGGCATCCTTACCTATAGCAGTCATATTCATAAATGTTTCCCACATCACATCTCTGTAGAGCTTCTTTTGGGATGGATTCAGCAGAGCCCACTCCTCCATGGTGAAGTTTACAGCTACATCCTCCAGGGTCACTGCCTCCTAAATAATCACATATACATATTCTAAAAGAAGCTTCAGACTCACACCCTGAGATAACTGAATTGCTCTTGTAAAAGCTGAATTGAAGCAAATTCCTTCAAATATTAACTTCATGCCTTGGGCACCAAGTATATGCACATATTTTCTAGCAATTCTGATGCTAGATTCCAACTTACTCCTATAGCAACAGCAGGGTCACAGAAATTTTATTCGTGCACTGTTTCCAAAGTAGAGCTCATACAGGGAGCCTGCAAATCACCATCCACAAAACACAAGGCAGATAAATAGCTAATGAATGGTTCCGATAGACCACAGATGATAACTGTTTTCAAATCTAATTCTTCATACAATTAAGTCATTCTTTCTTGGATGGTATCTATCCAGCCACATTTTGAAATTTAAATTTGGTTTCATAGAAAAAACTTAATGCAACATTAAATAAAGTTTATGAATAATAATGACAATGCTAATAAAAAACTGTATTATTAGAGCAAGTCTAAGGAACATAGAAACAGTGGAAGGGTGACATTATCTTATAGCTCAGTGATACCAAATGATCATCTTGCACTCAGATGTAAGAAATTCTAGAAGCGCCGTGCGTGGTAGCACATGCCTGTACTATCAGCACTTGGGAAGCTAAGGCAGGAGGATCACTGTAAGTTCGAGGCTAGCCTGGGCTACAAAGTGAGCTCAAGACCAGCCTAAACTGCATAACGAGACCCTGTCTCAAAAAAAACCCAAAAAGACCAAAAAAAAAAAAGGAAGAAAGAAATTCTAGGAGCATCTAAGGGAGATTAATGAGGGGAAAGACAGAAATAAAATACATTGGACACATTAAAAAATGAAAATATGATAAGGTGATTAGGCACTGATTACAAAAGGAAAGCTTCAACCAGGTGTGGTGGTATATGATCTTACTCCCAGCACTTAGAAGGCTTATGCAGGAGGATTACCATGAGTTTGAGGATTGGCAAGAATTCCAATTCCAGCTCCAGCTATGTAGTAACTTCAAGGCCAGTCAGGATTATGATGAGACCTATATCAAACTCCCCCTCAAAAAGTCAAACTTAAAATATTGTATCACTGACAAATAACACCTTGTTCATCTGTTCAAAAAATTACAGATGTGCAGTGTAATAGAAGACAGACAACTTTCAACATCTGTTGAGCAAGGCGATAGTTCTCACAGTATACATAAAAGACATTTGGGCTGGGGATTTAGCTCAGCGGCAAAGCACCTGCTTGGCAAGCACAAGGTCGTAAGTTCGATTCCTGGTACCAGAAGAAAGAAAAAAAAAAAAAACAGAATTTAATTACATAAAAGACATTCATATTTCACCTTCATTACAATGTAAATTTAGTAGAAAGAATGACAAATAGATCTCAGGAAAAGAAGAAAGCCTGTGGTTCCACATCTAAACAGAACACTAATTCATGACGCAGCTGATTTAAACATCTCTGGAATAAATCACGGTGTGTTTCATTTATGTTCAGGAAAAAATACTTATGTTCTTGGAAATCTGTACTGTATACCCTTCTATTTTATGTGCATAAATAACATATTGAAATGGGAAAGATACACTTGAATTCCTTTGGATTTTATAGCAAAACAACTTTTAGATATGAAAAGAGAAGAAAATCAAGGAGCCATCAGTATTAGGAGATATTGAAACTAGGCGTAGTGGCATAAGCCTATAATCCCAGCACTTGGAAGGCTGAATCAGGAGGATCACTGTGAGTCTGAGGCCAGCCTAGTGTACACAGTGAGCTCAAGGCCATTTTTAACTATAGAGCAAGACCTTGCCTCAAAAAAAAGGAGAAATTCAAGTCTATGAAAACCATGGGAAATAAATACATTCATCCATTGCCTACGGCTCAATGATGAAATATTCTGAATACATGCAGGACATTTATATTTTTATTATCATTAAATCTCACTAATTTTTGAGGATTAAAATTATTATAAAATATTTACATAGGAAATAGCCAATGACAAAGTTCATGCACATTAATGTTTGCCTTCAAACATGAGAACTTGAGACATATTACACAGATGAGGCAGTAATAAGCAAGCCCAGTTGCAAATGTGAGTCCTACAGATTCCCAGCAAGCAGTGGTCAAACTATGTTTGGTCATCAGGGGAAAAGTTCAGACTGCCAGAGAAAGGGAGAACAGGTATCGGAGCTGCTCAATGTCTACACACTGGGGTATGGTGCAAAGCCTATTACTACCTTGACAAGTGAAGTTACTATACGTACACAGATGAAGGTTAAGTAGGAATGCAAAAAGACATACAAGTTTAGCACTGATTCAATAAAAAAAGAATATTAAATTGGTATTATTCAATGTGTACCTCAAAGTAAAGTTTACAATGATCAGACAATGATAAAAAAGGCAATTTTCTAAAAAGAATGCTTTCTGATACATATTCATCTAAACAGTGCATCTGGGCTGGGGATTTAGCTCAGTGGCAAAGCGCCTGCCTGGCAAGCGCAAGGTCATGAGTTCGGTTCCTGGTACCGGAGAAAAACCAAAAAAAATAAAAATAAAAAAAAATAAACAGTGCATCTACCTACATAAGGCAAAAATATAAATGTGAAAGCAAAAATCATTTATTTACAACTATGTCTGAGGACTTCAAGACAACTCCATCAACAACTAACAGCTGAAGAAGGCAGAAAAATCTGTATAGTCACAAATGAAAACAACATCATTTTCCCAAGAGATTGGCAGGAGATTGCATAATGTCTTAGCCTATAACTGCATGGTACACATTCTTCTTAAAAACCACGAGATATATTAATCCTCATAGACCATTTCAGAAAAGAATAAAGAACATTGTGTCTTCAAAGCAACGGAAATTATTCAAAGCAAAGTCTTACACAATATTGGAAAAATTTAGAAATGATTTACAAAAACATATTTAGAATATTACTAAGCATTTGAGATTACAAGTTTTAAATGACACATTTCAAGTGAAAAGCTTGATTTATTAAGGATTTCCTAACATATGAAAGTGAATGTACACCTTATAATTGTTTCAAAGATCCAGTAATGAGTACTTCAAAAGAAATTAAGAACCGTGAATGTACTTATTGGGAAAGAACAAAGATATCCACTTCAAAAATTAGAGAAAAAAATGGCAACATAAAAAATAGAAATTACTCCACGGATAACAGAACACTTTTTTGTCCAAAATTCATACAGATTATAAATGACAATAGAATAGAAATTATTAAATGTATCAAAGGCACTTTGAAAAATTAACTTAATGTATTACAATAAAATCTTGGATATCAATCCTAAAATTATATGAACTGATACTGAAAAAATACAAGAAAGAATAAAAAATAATAGGACTAGATTAAGATGGAATACACAGAAATGGTCTTCACTTGCATATAACACCAATGCATATGTCAGAAAAATTAAGGTGCCAACAAAGAATTACTGGAATTAATAACGTATTGTACCACAGACTATCTCCCTATCTAAGAGACACAAATTTTACATGTAAATATGTATCAGATAAAACCAATGGGACTGGAAATTGTAAACATTACACCATACGAAACTCATAGAAGCACAAGGTCCTGAGTTTGATTCCCAGTACCAAAAATTAAAAAAAAAAAAAAGAAACTCACAGGGACACAATTTCATAAATGTTTAAAACACTTATGAAAGAGCTGTAATAAGCACAAGATAAAATCATAAAAATATATTAAATTTACACCTATAAATAAGTTAAATGATTCTACATATTGACAAAGTACAAAACACATACTTGTATAAACTATGTTAAAAATTTGTATATGAACATTTGTACAAATTTTGAATTTTTTATTATCTGCAGACCAATATTTTTTCTTATTCTATCAAAAATTCTAATTCAACACCACTTGCAGAAAAAACAATAGTAGCATTTTAAACACAGGAAAGATAGTAAAAAACAAAAATCATTTAAAATAACACAAACCGGGGCTGGGGATTTAGCTCAGCGGCAAAGCACCTGCCTGGCAAGCGCAAGGTCGTGAGCTCGGTTTCCGGTACCGGAGAAAAACCAAAAAAAAA